AAAAAAAAAAAAAAAAAAAAAAAATAAGCGATATGAGATGGATTGAAGCGAGCACGCCATGCGGAAAAGCTTCGACCGACGAGAAATCTAAAACGTTGAATACGGGAAAGAAGGAGAGAAAGAAAGTGGGTAACATTTTGCTTGCATAATGATCTCTCCATCTTTTGCGACCAGCAATGCATGAAACTCGCGCGAAACAGTAACAGTCCGTCGCACAGTGTTTCGTGTAACACAGAGGTCGCCATCAAGGTAAGGTTTCGCGATACGATAAATAATTTCTTAATTCCCCTCGCGTGGACGCGTGGTAACCGAGCTTAGACACGCTCGTTCCTTCCCCTCGAGAACGAAAATCCTTCATTCCTGTTTCTCTCTCTCTCTTTCTTTCTTCTTTCTGCAATTTTCCGTTTCAATTCTCCGCCTTGACAATGCCATGCAGGTAAAGTAATTCCATGCCAACGTTTTCAAACGTAACGCGCGCGTTACCGTGCACGTAAATGAAAGTGGGGCAAGATGACGAATTGCGATCTTTTCATACGCGGGGCCGGGGATAACCGGCGCTAGGATTTGTCAAAATAACACCGATAAGAAGCCGCAAGCAAGCGGAATTTTAACGTGCCAAAAGGAGCTGAGCGCGCGACGCACGAACCGTGAGTCAAGAATCATTAATAGTCTTCTCGAGGAACGTTCTTCATGCTTTGATTTACAGCGATTGAAATGGCCACGTTGCTATCGAAGCAACGATCGCACGTAATTTCGTTTTGTAATCCTTCCACACACGTTGAAGGATTATTGATGACGATACGAGTGTGACAGATACGACGTTATCACGTGTGTGTGTGTGTGTGTGTGTGTGTGTGTGTGTTTGTCGTTTTCTGCTGCTGGACAGACAGATTCCTACGAATCTTCCTTCCTATTCTTCGGTCATTCTATTCTTCGTGGTTTCGCGTGATCCACGCGGACAGTTACATTTCTGCAGGCGGTTCTTACGATGGTTCTTACGTTGTTTCGCATGCTTTGTTGTACCTTTGTCAATGTCCTGTTGCAATTTGAAACGCGAAGTTGCAGCAAGGCTTTCAATTTCACTTCACGTGCCGTTCGATTCATTCATTCTAAGTTTGTTTCATTTGTCAAACTTCACTTGTCAGGCAACCATTTCGAGTTGGAGAATTGCAAAAATATCGCGGGACACAGTGACGAACAAACGTTTCAAATATAGAAGATCTTTGCCACTCGGAACTCGGCCGAAACTTTCAGCGAAATTCACCGAATGGGACGCGAAATTAATTAACATCCGTATGAACATCAACAATCAAAACGCCAAATTAATACAAATATATTCCAAATTCGGTCTAAAATCATTGCCGCCGAGAAATTTCTCGTAGCAACAAATGCAATAATTAATTAAATCCCATTAATAAAAAATGAAAACAACTTCTCTCTCTCTCTCTCTCTCTTTCTCTCGAACATCGCTTCATCGACAACG